CGTGCGATTTATTGCCGTATAAAATTCGAGCTGGGTCATTTGGCTTGATAGGAATACGTACATTCGCCCGCTAACCGTAATTCGAAGGAAATAATGACTTAGAAGTAATACGTTATTGGCATCTTCTTTACAACCTTATTTCGGTAATGATCTACCAGGCTTCAACACAAAACGAATATAGGTACGAATGAAACAGACGAAAATAAACGCAGTACGAAAAAGTATGTTTAAAATCGCAGTCATAGCAATCACGGGAATTAATTTGGAACATTATTGATGGACGTCGATGTAATTTTGAGAGGCCCTCATTCAATATCTAGGCACTTTACAAACGCATTCCATTGAAATTCATAAAACGTAGGTAGTTTCGGCGTCATTTAGTAGCAGTTGGTACAAAGCCACTCATTCATGCAGTGAATCCGGACGAAATATTCACGTTCCGTTAGTCAAACGAACTACAACGTGCGAGCACAAGCCTGTTTACTACTTATATTATTGATACCAATGTATTCATTACCTGCTGTTTTAGGACATTTTACATCCTACGTATATGTGTTTTAAGTTGGTAATTAAATGGCAAAATATGTGGCTCGTAAGTCTTTGTATTTTTTGGAACAGAAATATTTAGATTTATCAAGGTAATATTCATAATAGAAATGAAATTAACAATGGTAAACCAAGATTTATTATAAGGAGTACTCAACATAATAGAAGCTTTCTTGTGACTGTGTCAGACTTTACAACTTGCTTTGTTTCGCAAAAATATTACTTCTCATGCACAAATTCTTAAATGACTAACGAAAATATATATTTTAACAAAAGGTAAAATGAAATAGCATTCAATGTAATATTATTCACGAGACTTAAGATACTATACATAACAATTATCTTCAATCACACATATAGAGTGAAAACTATGAGTTGTCGTGCTCAAACTCACACAACTCTGCGTAGCCTCTTAAAGTATAACAGTAATATCTAATTAAGTTATTCGAACCCTAATGTAAAAAAATGTGAACAGGTTCCAACTTTCACGGTGTCATCAAACAAAAATGGTTTAAGGTGTCAAAAATTTGTGCTCGTCATGAACGAAAGTAATTGTTTGATGTAGACAAATTAGTACTTACTCGGAAAAACAGATATTTCTAGTTTGAGTTGTCAATATACTACATATAGGAGGATATCAATTTTATGAGGATAATTTCTAAAAATGGTAGACCGCTTGTGAGACTTAACTGATTGATACTTCTTAAAAAAAATTACTGGTTTTTAAGGTACTTAATTTCCCAATTAATGGAAATATTTAATTACTTAATGTCAATTTCAACTAATACGTCAGGAAGAATATCTCTACATGTTTTAATTCCGCTACGAATCATAGCGTAACTCTGCGTAGCATAGGCGTAGTGCTATGTAGCAGAGGCGTAGCGCTGCGTAGCAAAGGCGTAGCGTAGCTATTCTTCCAGAAGTAGTAGATTAGTATGGATTTCCGCAAAGTTACGCTTGATTATATTCTGCATAGTGTTAATTAATGTATAATAAATTGAAATGCTATTAACGTTGACCCATTGAATAAACAAAAAACAGACATTGACGTCCTGATCTAAACTAGGCATAATAAATAATCATATTTTTTACTCAACAAAAATCTGTTTCTTAACGCCATAAAAATATCAACAATTCTATAACTATTTTTATCAATAAAATTAATATGCAATCAATCAATTTGATGCTTTCATTTAATTGTAGATAGGTATCAATAAAAGTACCCATTTATGGCTAAACACACGTGCTAGTATATTTTACGTCAAACGTAATTGCTTAACACCGTTTCGTGCACATTAAGTGCTGTTAAAGCGAGCCACGCAAGTGGATTGACTTGTGCTTACACATTAGGGGCCAGTTCGACAAACTTTTCAAGAGTGGAATTGATAAGCAGTATTTACTATATTATAAAGCAGTTTAGATAGTGTCGGCACTCGGGGCAGCAGGCGTCACAAGGCTCACGCGTCGCCATCAGTATGCGCGCGGCGAGTGCGTGTCGGCATGCGACGCCGCGCGCCGTCCGCTCGCAGCTCGCACTCTGTTTATATCACCAATAACTACGAAACATTTTGTTACTAACATATTCCGAACCGTATACACTACGTCCTATCACAATCATTAACCACATACTAATCAGGTTTTGATTGCATACCTCTTACATCATATCCGAACCTTCAAATGTGATAATGCTAACAGGCCTGCTTCACGGTTCAAAAGGATTTAAACACTGACATTACACAAGCTCGTAGTGCCACTAACGACATCGTAATTGCCTCGCTTGTCGTTTGTCCTCTCTGTAGGGAAAGCTACATGATACAAAATACCACGCCCTTTGAAGTCCTTTAGATTATATTTATTTCCGTAATCACAGGAATTACAGAAATAAAATCGCTCTAAAAAGTAGAAAACATAACGCCGGGAGGAATTTCTTAGAATAAATAAATTCTCTCTTCCTTTGTCTCATAAATCCTTTGTCTCTGCCTTATAAATTCTGTTTCTTATAAATCGCTTGTTATGCGTAACAACAAGGCATATTTCTAAAGAGGCAGCGTATTCCACTGTAAATGTTAAAAAATGTACTCTAACATTTGTGTGCTGAGTACTGTTAAATCTCGTTACCTCGGCGCACATGGGAAATATTATACGTGAGAACGTGATTATTGTGGGGAGACATTAGCACGGCGCGGGAGAATATTGCCGGGGACTCGTGTTATTGAGATATCTAGAGTTCGTCGTCGATTCTATCGGCGTATCTCGTGTGTATCTTCTCAAGAAAACAAAGGAAAAATCGCAAATATCGAGTGCAACCGCGATAGAGCGGGGTGCACACTGGGTGCCGGCAGCGGCGCCGGGGTCCGGGCCGGGTCGCCGCGCGCAGCCACGATGTCAATCGCGACTCCTCTTTTTACTTCCTGCTCAGTCAGACAATGGCGGGAAAATGTTTTCTACGTGTGGGGACGTGGCGCGGGGTGTGGGGTCAATAGCGGGAGCACTAATCTCTGTCGGGATCGTTCGGATTAATGGCTCGTGTTGCCGTGTCTGTTGTTTGTTTCCACAATTCTTGGTGCCTCTTCCTTCTAGTTGTTATAAGTTTCTTCGTAACTCACAGGCGTTACAATGAGTAGACTTTTATAGTACAAATTAAAGTTTTTTGCTATTTATTGTCAGCTATATTTGCACTTACAAAATTCACACAGTGATTACAATCTTCACTTTAGGTAAAAAGTTTTAGTTTTAGTGTCTAATGAATGAAAGTAAGTATATCCTTTACTGTATGAACACTGAAGTTTCTTTAATAAACATTCAATTCTTATTTATGGAACATTACTCTCCTTCACTATTATATTTCAGTGAATCGATTTTATAAAGCATTTTACCACCCAATCTTAAAAGTTTACATCAGAAATTAAGCATTCCAAGATCGCACTGTTTAATATGACAGACTACAATCACGGTCACAAAGAGAGGAGCCTACTTAATTTATGATGTCCTCTGCAAACTTACAACGGCATTGAAAAACAATGAAAATGAAAAGCCATCGAGCGGGTCCAAGCGCTCTTGACCGACTTGGAAAGAGCGCAACACGGGAAACGAGGATTTATCCTACGCCAAACTGAATTTTATTTAACACAAGAGGAGGTATAAATTAAAATCTCTACCTTGTTTATTCGGATTGTTAATTTTTATTCAAAGCTTTATGGAAATAGTAGGTGGTGATAATTGTACCTTTGAATCGTACTAATATGAATGACTTTGTTTTTTTTATCTTTATTAGCCCACCAACAATTGTATATACATTAGTATAGTATATTAAAAACAAAAAAAAATCATCAGATAACAGTAAAATGTTACCATCGATTACAGACGAGCACAGCACTCTTTAAGATAAAACCTATTAATATGACAATGCCATATCCTGACCCAGTCATATTATCATTTACAAATAAAATTAAATTGATGAAAATAATTTTGACATCTGTAATTAACACACAACACGATGCTGAATACTGCATGCTTGTACCTCTATATAACTTCTAATAAAGTGGGTCAAAAATGTACTGAGCACCTGGCATTGTCCTTTGAATATAACATATCCATTAAAAACAGATTAAGTTTCATTAATTTACATTTGTTTTTAATATTGTCTCTATTATACGTACCCACATCATTGCTAAAACTTTGAAGTATTTGAAAGTTAACGGTAACTAATGAATATAGTTGTTAAACAAAATCGTGCCCCATTCAGACTATAACCGAAAACACTTTTCTTTTTGTGTACGTAAAAATCCAGCCGAATCAAATCCGCCTATTAGGGAGGGCGCTGCTACTAATTAAAATAAAATTGTTAAAACACAGAAGCGGGTGCGCGCTCTCTCCCCACACCAGACTAACTTTTAACGAGGATATATTTGGTTTCGACCAACCCTTTGGTGATTTTACTATTGAGTCTGACTGCAAATAACTCCTTAATTGACTTCAAACAACTTCTGGCTTTGTGGATGGAATACTGAGGTTTCTCTTGTATTAGAATTTACGGCCTACCTGAGTATCGTTTCAGACCGTAGCCAAACACAATCCTTGTATAATGTAACAAATTACGTGTGTAGATTGGGTAATCAATTAGAAGCTCTTACGGTTTTCTAGACAATAACGATAAATGTTAAAATGTCATCCGTATCAAAACATTATCTTCATTCAACGAATCGAAGTTGATCTAAAAGTAATTGTAGATCTCTCCCGCAAATATCTTATAATCTATTTCTACTATTCTTCAGGAACCTTTTTATTTGTGTAAGATTGTGTCAAGAGCTACTTATTTCAGGTTAACTTTATCGCTACGTTAAGAACAGGCTGTAGTGGAGGTAATGTTTGGTGTTTGTTTTCTTAAGTGAGGTCATTTGTTGCAGGAGTCGCATAGCGGCTGGCAGCCCGGGTGCGGCGGCTGCGGCGCCAGGATGATGGACTGCCTGTGCCCCGCGCCGCGCACGCTGGCTTGTCGAGTGGTGCTACTCGACGAACGAGAACTCCTGCATGAAATACAGGTAAACCTTGTATACTTCACGTCACACAATTTATAACACGGTAATATCACACGGTGTACATAGAATCATCGCTACATGTCTTAACGCCATTACTGCCACAGTCGTGGCCAACCACAACTTTTTTGTTTCGTTCCAATAGTGATAATACGATTCCTATAGCTGATGTCGGCGGGGGAGTTTTTATGAATCCTGCCATAACCGCGACGTCTCTCCAACACTCCCAAGTCCCAACGGGCGTCGATAGTATTTTTCAATTTTCCCTCGTACATGAAACAACGCGTGGATTTTTCTCCATTTCTCAACCCACACTTGTGAAATGCAGCTATTCCGAGACGAATTATTTGAAGTACACCCAGGGGCTCAAGGAAGGTCTTTTATATGCGAAGCTCGGGTCCAAGGTGCGGGCGATGAATTCACTGAATCGTACGTCGGCTCTATGAATATTAAATTCTATTTGACTCGCATTGTCGCCGCGTGGTGAATGTGAGAGTGGCTCGCGAGCGATGAGCGGTCCGCGCCTTCCTGCGGCCCTATCAGTGTGTCCCTAATGTTTACCTACACACAACTATTACGACTACACACTCCTACATTCTAGAAATTGTATTTATCGCCAAACGACCACAAATGCCGTTAAAGTTTTCATCAAAAACATTGTCTCTTTTGAAAATGCATCTCCTAAGCTTGGAAACACACAAGATCTCAATGATCACTAAAGCTTCTCATTCTAAGATAATACGTATATAAGTCTCCATCGTAACCGTAAACAGCCGGGAATTTATGGCAGAAATGCTTTTGTTCGCTCTGTATGAAGACCCACAACTTGTTCGTCAAACAAATTCTCAAGATATATTGGGCTAAAATCATCCAATTTGGGTAAAGTGGAACCAACAAGAGTTCGACGTTTCTCGCTAAATTGTATGGATGTTTTAGATAAATCACCGTCCTTTCGTAAGTTTTCCCTATCTACAAAGGAACATTTGTCTTTAACGGATCTAGTGAGGACTTTTTCTTGCAAGAGATGAAAATAATATTCAGATTTATGGCCTCGATTGCTGTGAATTGGATTTCTGTCACGGATAAAATTGTATTCAGTAAAATTGTATTGAACTCACAAATTCATTCATTCCACAAATTCAGATAGGACCAATCATGCAGAATTGAATAGAACCAGAACCGATCTTTTTAAAGTTTGAGAAATGTCGAAGCATCCGTCCGTAGCCCATAATTGGTTAGGCTCATACTTAAGTTTATTATAGAAAATTACAGGTAGACGAGTCGAACGATGGGATGATATCATCCCAAGCCTACATTCGAGGCCTGAAAAATACCGCAAACTCAAACGGAAATTTTCCGTCAGGTATTCAGATTTATAGATTATAAAATGTTGTATATTTGTATAACAATGAATATGATTACAGTGAAAATTCAAGAGAACAATTTAAATAACGTCGACGTATATTGAGTGTCGAGTTGGTAAAAGCAACAAGCTTTTCTTTTGTCAAGACAATTGAGTGTCGAGCGACGCGTGGCGGCGTTTTATTTGGCTCGGATAGTAAAGGGGAAGGCAAGGAATTGCTGTGCAATTTATGAAGCGGGCCTAGTGTCGGCGGCAAGTGGTGCGGGCTTCGACGTGTATTGTCGTGCTGGCAAATTGACTCGGCGGCATTTCACGGTCTACTGCGCTGATGCACCTCGTTCCTAGTTCTGCTTTATTGATGACGTCTTCATTGGTTGTCCCTTGACAATCAGCCTGCTGCACAATGCAGCAAGCAATTACCTGTCCATTCAGGCCAGTGCAGTTGATTAACGTATTTTCTCGCACGGCTTTCATTTTTGAACAAAGCGTGGACAGCTAACAGAATTGACGATATTTTGAGATAGAACTAGACACGCCACTGAATTGAAAATATTTTAGTGTTTCTATTAATAGATACATCATCATTTTATTAGGAACTGACATGAATACAAATTAAAAGATGATGAAGTAAAACGACTTTCTTTTCCATCCATTTTATTGATGACCAATTAGCATATAGTATTTAGGTAAAAATTTGCTTATGTAAAAATAAACTAACTTGGACTTTGATTGATACAGTATTTGTTTTGGGAACACTCTACGTGAAAATATGAGTTTATGGCTCGAATAGGACACAGGAAAAGGGATTGGGTGTTTATTAAAACGAAGTGAAAAGTAAATTGAAGTTAGTGGCGGTAGGCCGTGGGGAACTGGGGACGCGTCCGTGGCCCGCGGCAGCATCGCGTGCACGTCGCTCGCTACAACTGCACCGTGCTGCCAGATTTTCAAATCGTTTGTTATTTTTCGAGCTTCACGTACGCTGGGAGCAAACGCGCTCTGTTATTAAATCATTTATTATTCAACCCAACGAACTGTTTCGCAATTTTCCCACAAGCCGACGAAGGATCCTATAGCCAATATACATTTATAGTGATATGTTATATCAAACGAACGTAGGTAGGTACCTTTTTTATTGAGACTACTGATAACGTGTTTTTTCAGATTCGTCGGTATTATGTGCCATCATTTTTACCGTTAAATGTTCACCCGTAGGCCGTGAAGTAAGTAATGAAATCCAATGCTTCATTGTTAACGAAGGTCGAACTGAAACAACAGATCGTAAAAGAACCGTAGTTAATTTATATTAACGGTTTTGACAGTAGTATTACTGTGGGCAAAAATTGTGCTGACGATTCACAATGGCATATTTTTATTCAAGTATATAAAACAAATCTGTAGTTATACATTTATTCATCTTAAATAAATCATAATGTTAAATATTTATTTAGTAAACATTATGATTTATATATTATATTTTAAATTTCTTTCTTTTATATATATATCTATATAATATTTCCAAATATTGCCAAAACGTGTGGTCAAAATCAAAATCCACAAAAAATCACCTTACATTGGAAATTGTTTGGGAAAAATGTTAAGTAGCACCTTGGGGTGTAGTTAAGACGTCACGCGGACGCGGAGCGCGCACGCAAGTCTTGTGTGAGACGTTGCGCGTGAGAGCTGCGCAGTGCGCTTGTTCCACGCAAACCCATTCATTATATGAGCAATACACAACCAGTCGACTACTGGTGTTACTGGTCCAGGCCCATCGCGTGCCTATTAGCCTAATTGTGGAAACCTGAGCATCAAGAAATGCTAATCAGAGATAGCCCGACTGCATTATTGCTCGTGATAGCGTTTGATTTCTAACAGTAATGCTTTATATAACCGGTCCCGGCCACTATCTAGTTTCTTCTCAGAAACCATGCATTTCTACAGCATCGATAACTTAATTTTAATTGCAAATCTTCTATTTTACTACAGTTATTGAGATCGCATTGTTTATATACGAAACAAGATCGTTCTAAACATAAATTTACAAAGGAAATGCTCTTGTTATTTCCAGATTGTTTTTAATACTGATTTAAGTCTCACATAAAAACAAAGCACCCTATAAGATTCAAACGAACTCGGGTAAAATTAAATTGCAGGCAGACAAGAATTTCTAAGAAGGCATTCCTCTATCGATAAACGAATAATGAGAGCTTATTTTCGCCAAATTAAATTAGGACGGACAATAAATTCAGGTAACTACGCCGTTATGCCAAATTCAAATGGTTGTTCTGCATGAAAACTAGAATTGACCTTAAATAAATGTTTCTAAATAATTAGATGAGCTAAGTCATTGTAGGTCAGATATTCAGACATGCTAATGGTGATTGAGATTGCCTAAATGCAAAAATACGATTTGAATTTTGCTACGCGACGGTGATTTATTCGTCCGAGAGACATTTATGGCAAAACATTTTATGACTTTATTTATGGCAAAGAACTACACCTAAGGAAATAAATAAGTGGCCATATTTTAGGCGAAGGCTGTCAAGAAACTTGTTTGCTTTTGTATGAAATCACGGTTCATGTAAATTTTTAATTAAGATGATAAATGTTGTTTACTGTTTTAACTATCAGAGAGAAATTTTATTTGTCTGTCTATCCACCTGCCATTTATCTGCTTTCAATTTTATTAACAAATTAATTAGACTAACTGATACATACACATCCATTTATCAAGATAAAGACTCAATTCACACAAGTATCGTTGCGCTAAGATTTTAAACTTTTTTATGTCACTCTATAACCATTTAACAAAGAAAACGTTATGAGTTAGGAAGTCCTAACATTCACTTGATTAAAAATAACTAATTAGATAGCCTTCCACTTCTCTGGCTCTAAAATAACGTCTAAAACCAAAACATTACTGACTTTTGTTAGCGGTTACATCGCTAACAAAAGTCAGTAATCTCTTTACATTTGAACTATTTAATTTCGTCTCAAACATTCCCTTTACATAATATAGGGTCTATATACACTATATTGTAAGGGGAGACATTTTCATCATTGCCATTAAAGGTACTTTCGTCATTGTGGTTACGTTCCTCTGAGATTTGCGGTTAAATTTAATCGAGCTCAAACGATTTGTAGTAGGTTTAGTTTCCGGCGACCGGCACAAGCGGTTAGTGATCGAATTTAGGATAGAATTACAATGTCATTTAACAATCTTGAACGAGGCGATATATCAAAGGGTAGGCCCGTGGTTCGTGGTTATGCTATAGGTATTTTAGATAGTATCCGACATAGTTTACATGCTATTACTAGGGTTTCTAGTTTAATTATGCTGTAATAGTTGTTAGTGGTTTTACATAATTGATTTTAGACCGAATTTTCAATTTGTAACACTTTTTGATATCGTTTTACTTAGTAACAAACGAAAATGATCAGCTCGTATGCAAAAGTGAAAAGGTGAATAAATGGGTATTTTAACCATCTTCATAGTGCAATGTATTTAATATTAATTTTGTTTCAGGATAACAACACCGGCCAAGCGTTACTAGACGTAGTGTTTCGACACTTGGATCTCCTAGAAACAGCTTATTTTGGTCTCCGCTACGTAGACCAAGATAATCAAACGGTAAGCCACTTAATATTCAGTGACCCATCAATAAAGTATTAGCGAAACTATTTGAATATTAATATCACACTTATTATTATGGCCATAAAGTTGTTTTTTGCTATTGGATGGAGTAAACAAAATTGTATTTTGAATAGCATTAAATTAAGTAGCCAGCTACTGGTTTAGTTAAGTTAACTATTCTTGTTAAAAGTGTTATTTTTTTGAGTCAGTGGAAAACAAAAGAGTCACTTAAATTTAAGTCAAACTTCAAGTATGTTATAAACTGTAATTACAAGATACCATAACGGTACCTTTTAATCCACTAAGAGATAGGCAGATGTGTACAAACAAATTGTATGCACATACATTTACTGGGTACATCATTTTCACCAGATACAATCCCATGTAATAGTAGTGAGTTAGCTTATACATTGAGAAAAGTTTTCAAGATTGCCTCGATTGTCTGTGTTACATGGTCGCAAATTTTACCGCCAAGGGGAGCCTCGGTTTGATCCCGGGCTGGGCAAACTAATATTGTCACTTGTCGCATTTTTAAGATTTTGTCAGTAATCATAGCACGTAGCCATCATACATAACGTTATTTTTAAATCGAATACATTTTCATATAACATATAGAACAGTACAGAGCAAAAGTACGTTTTCCTAACAAAAAAATGAAGTTATTTTTAAACATTTTGGCTCTCAAAGTTGAGCCATTTTGCAAAGGTGACGTAACAAAATTGGATAAGAAGATTATATCCTGTGGAGACTTTTTACTTGTTTAAGTACTATCTTCGTCTGGGAATGGAAACCTAAAGGACTTTGAGATGGAAAAAATATAATTAAAACGTTTTAGAACTCATATATAGAACATAATGACGCAATTCATATTTGCATTGTTCATTAAAATTGATACGAATTATCTATTCATGGCTTTAAAAGCGTGTCGCATAACACAAAGGTTTTATTAATTAATCAATTATTATATCAAAATAGTTCATTCTAGTTGTGGTTAGTTTTATTGATATGTTTCGATTAATATTTGCCATTGCATATTTTAATGCTTTATTAGAATTCTGTTTCAATAACACCATAAAAGTCTTTCAAACATTTGTATAAATTAATTCATTTCCCTTTATCAAAATAATGTACTTGTTTTGGATAATAAACTGAATTGGATACAGAAATCCAATAAAATGTGCAAACATTTTGCCATTAAACAGTAATATAACAAATTTCCTTCAATAGACTTACGATTGCTGCGTTGGACGAGAAATTAATACATTCCTCAAGTTTCTTTCATTGCGAGATCATTGAGGAAATCCATTACATTGATATCTTATATATATCTATGATATTTCTTATGCAGCATTGGCTGGACGCGGGCAAGAGATTGCGTCGTCAGCTTCGAGGCTCCGATCCTCATACTTTCTACTTCGGAGTAAAATTCTACGCGGCAGACCCATGCAAGCTCCTAGAAGAGATTACCCGGTAAGTAAGGAATGCATGACTCATCCATTGTATACCTACACCTCTTCGTTCACATCAAACATTGTTGGCATTAACGCCAATTATGTTTGATGTGAACAATCGCGGTCACCCACTGTTTGTCATTTAGATAATGAGAATTGTACAACTTTTGCGGAATTAATTAAAATATCAGTGGAAATGTTCAAATTACCTAACCCACCTACACTAACGTTTCCTGTGTTGTACGATTTCATTTTAATAGATCGTTAGTAACTACTAAAGTAAATAAGCTATATTCAATAACATGGACAGTATCTCGACGGAAAATCAATGAAACACGTTTTTGAACATTACAGTCGGCCGTAATTATTATAAATGTTCCGAAATATATCATTACAAGTTGAACGTTACCTCATTTAAAAGTTTATAAAGCTTGTTAATACTTCGTCAATAACATGGATTTTATTGTCGACCTTCCGCTGTTTGTAGAACTCACATGTTCAAGTTTTAATAGGATCGTTGTACAATGTTGACCGGCATCCAAATCAAACCAACTGTCACACACATGTACGTAAATACTTTCAAACACATGTTCGTTTTACAAACAAAATCAGTTATTATAATGAATTCCAGCCAAACCGCTAACTGCACGTGAAAATCAAATTAATGGTTGAACATTAACAAATTATACTGAGCGATATTTATTAATGTGGTTTTCCATCAAAGCGTTGAGTGCGGTGTGTGTGTATAACGCGCACGTGTCTCGCTACGCAGGCACTAATGTAAGTAACGCTTTCACAACATCATTCATATTATGGCACATTAATTCAGGAGCGTGAGGGATGAAATAGGAAGTGATAATAAAACACATCTGTGTTCTTAACGTGCGCCTTGTCAGCGATTCGCCACCATGGCACCTCGGCACCTCGCCACTCCGCTACCTCACCACACCGACACATTTCTGTCCGCTTTCTGTCACTAACACACGAGCTATAAAATGACACAGATATATCCTTTTTAATATTCAATGAAGCACGAGACGCAAATGACGACATTGACTTATTTATAGACAATGCTTTACAGAGCTTCTCTAATAACATTTTGTTATCCTTGTTATTTTGTTATTCAACCTACAAATATTCACGGCTACTATGTTTTCTGATATCTTTGTCTCACGCTAAGCTATGACCCCATATAAAAACTTTGTACATTATTAAGAACATTGAGCTACGAGAGTGGCCCATTATTCCCACATATAACAAGATAACGCTGAGAGATAGAGGGATATAATTAGTGTAACGTTGCAAGGACAGTAGAAAGACTTTTATAGAGGTGGTCGCCACATTTGTGTAGTGTATGTCGCAACTAAATAACTACATTAACCGTAATAATAACAACATGACTCGGTTATGTACTTTACGAGACCTCCATTGTGGAGAGAGTGACATAACTGGACACATTACCGTTGATATACGATAGCGTGTACCGTGAATCGTACATAGATACTCGTAGGTGTACCTAGGAGAAGCACATCACTCACTATATTTTTATACTCGAAACTATTAAAATTTCATAATCATAAAAGAGAGTGAAGTCTAGTAAGGATACAAAAGAAGGTGTAGTGCTCTCGCAATAAACGCGGTGAGCTCGTAAACTGACGTCGCACTGATGAAATGAATGGGGCCAGGCAGTGCAGCGCCGCGCGCCGCGCCGTAGTGCGCTCCACTGTCAATGGTGAAACATAAACACAGGAATTTCATTTCACGAACAATTTTAATTGGACACCTTTTATAAAATAGGCTCCTCCGAGTTATATTTCCTATTCACTGAAACAAGAGTTTGCTAATTTTTTTCCATAGAGCTACAATTTAATTTCTGCCTAAAATATCTTTTGTAACCGCAGAGAAACTTTCGTCTACTCGTATTTCCTTTAAACTTTACAACAAAGGCTACAATTGAAGTCAGTTAAGTGGAATTTTGAAGAGTTTCCATTTATTCTTTATTTTATTCCCTGTGAATGTTGGGAGGGTGCGGGGATGTTTTATTAAAATTTCGTTATTACGGTGTTGACGGTGCACGCCCGCCGGCACCGGCCGCTTCTATATCAGTACGTACAACACGAGGAAACGTCTTCCTTTAGGTAAGGGCCGCAGTTTAATACTCGTAAATTCTTTGAAAACCTTTGCCTTGATGGTCTTTTAATATTTAATTTCCTTCTAAGGCCAATCTTTTTGCAACACGTTTGTCGGGCTTGTGCCAGTTACTGAAAACGAAATGAGTGAATAAGGATTTTATGTTTGGGGAAAATTAAATTTATTAGGAGTGATCTGGATGTTGTTTATTGTGTAAATTAATATATGTTGTTTGTATCAGGTACCAGTTGTTCTTGCAACTGAAGCAAGACGTGCTGCGCGGTCGGCTGCCTGTCAACTTCGACCTCGCTGCCGAGCTCGCCGCATATGTGCTGCAATGTGAGTCACTACATACGTAATATTACCTCTTACATTATAAAGCTCATTACATTTTTATATGTAAGATTATGTCATGGGAAGTTAGGACGAGCCATAGTTTTTAATTAGCTGGTAATTTGGTAACGTCGAGGTTCGGTGGCGCTGTGCGTGCTCAACATAAATGATAAATGAATTATTATTATTACAATATTTTGTAGCGTGAATCTTATATTCACGTGTGCATGAAATTGATACTATTTTGATATATTTATTAATACTAATATCTACTAAATCTTAATTTATATCTTACATAACGATATTTTATAAATTTTCATATAACTTATTCAGTACTTAAATAGCATAAAATGAAGTTAATGTTTTTTACGGCTAGAGAATACTAACATCACACTAGGTAGTCGTCATTCTAACCATAAGTCCAATGAGGCAATCTTTGTTGTAAACATGGTTGACAAATTGGAGTTTCTTAGTGTGGGACGAATAGTGGCAGTAAAATCCGCAAGTACGACCCGTGCTCCGGGTACAAAGTGGCTGGGAGGCCACTAACCCGCCAGCTTACTGTGTTACTAGCCTAGGATTTGCTGGCTCCCCTCGTAGGCACTGTATAGTACCAGAATGTAAGATAAAATTGGGTGTCAATTACATATAGGTGAAGCAGTTTATTTTGTAGTAAAAACCTTCATAATACTTCTGACATAATATAAACTCTTTAGAAATAATCTGAAACTTGAAAGACTTTAGAACCACTAAAAATTACTTAAAGAGTCACATTTAGTGACTTAGAATACTCAGTTACCACAACTAAGACCAACATATTTGATTTTTTATATTTAATAGAATGGCGTTTGGCCACCATCTCAAAATAAATAGTTTACAAATAGGTCATATCTCTCATTTAAGGAACCAAGTCAATTTTAAAAAGTTAAAGAACCAATTTATCATTAAGTACGTTTGTTAAGTCAAGTAACAACTTCATCAAAAATCGTTCAGAAAAAAATATGCCTCGTCATCATTCAACAATACATTTTTTGATCAAACTCAGTTCGGTTTGAGAGTAATCACAATTCTCATTGTAATAGAGTTCAGATTGTATCTGTGTCCCTTACCGTGTTATTATCGACTGCAGATGAAACCATTTGCGAAACTCAGTTCAATTTCATTTTAAATGGCGATTTTATGAAACACTCATAATGATCATGTGGAAACCTTTCGGTTGATTGCGTTGTAATCCGATATTCTTTTAGTACGCGGTTGTAAATGTGTTCGCTACGTACAATTATAAAATCGAATTATTTGATAAACATTTTATGTGATACGATATTTGTTTAGATTGGTCGGTACGTATATGTAACGAACTGTTTGTTTATTTCTCGTAAAAAGTTTACAGTTTTATTTTTATTTTCGTAATCAATGCAGAGTTATTGTATCAAACTAATTTAAATAACGACTTTATTAAACTCTTATCAGAATCTTACCTATATCTTATTTCGATTTTATAGCAATTTGAGGCCAATTTAATGATTTATCCTATAAGTATCTATTAACGATCAATTTAAGCTTACAAAGTTGTTTTAAAAATATAAGAATAATTTTTCATTTTCTAACTGACAGACTAAATGGACATTTAATTCTAATACCCAATCATTATTGCTATTCAGTAGCAATATACCTACAATGTACCTATGTATAAATAGGTACATACATATAATCCAGTGCGACAATATTGTTTACCGTCACACATGTTTACTATTACATGCAATATCACGCCCAGTTTATTAACTTGATTGTCAACCCGTTTCCAGGAAAACTGCGCCTATTTGGATTTGATTGTCTGTGGGCATGAAAATCTACATTTGATTCCTAGTCCCGTATAGTATTGTATGTATTTTCAGATTTAATATCGGGAGGTTTAATCACTGTTCATATAATTGGTATTCGTAATTTAATAAAGACAGAGCACTGATACCTAAGTTTATACGTAGATAAGTATATCAAGTGGTTATTCGAGTTAAGTTTCCTGTAATTTCAAGAACTTTCTAGATTAATTATTATATATATTTTACTAGTATTAACTTATTACTTTATACTTTGAATCCACATGTGAATAACTACTTTTTATACCCAAAACTTAGCAAAAGCTCCTTAGCAAAAACTCAAACCTAATTGGTGCGTAATATTGTAAGAAACAAACCACTGCCGGGATTGGTTGAACGACTATAAAAACTATTAAAATCATAAATAAATAACAACATGCCATCACATTAAAGTAGCAACCACAGTTCTATAAAATAGTTTAGTACACGCAAGGGAATAATAATGTGTGTGATCATGTGGGATCGTTGACTCATCGCCGAGGGCCCGAAAGATGGCCGCCACAACAGTACGCATGAACACTTACATACAAACTACCGCGAATGAACCTAAATATATAGCGCAATAAAAAATATCTGTGACAAGAGAAATGTGCACAAAATACAAACAAATAAGAATTTGTATAAATAGATCGCGTAGAAAACAGGAACAACTATTGGTATTCAATGCTATCTAAGCATAATCAGGGTGTTGTTCATGTGGTATTTATAATAATACGTACACTCTCGTATTAATGTAATATGTATTTGTACCAAAGTCTTTTATTCAACTTCAGTTAAAGACTACTATTTAAGTACTAACTTATCAAACAGTAGGTAGCTAGAAGTCGAATACCCAAATCCAATAAACAACCTTTTAGGAACACTAACCAACTCATTTCTATTTCGATGGATATTCTTTTAAATTCTATTTAAGTTGACCGAGGAATATCACATGACTAAGGATCATCACAATTTTGAAATAAAACCAACACCGCCCGTGTAAATAAATCTGCGTATTTCTTAAAAGAGGAAATGTTATACATGCTTCGACGCGTGATGATGTCGAATAATGGCCGCCGATCCCAATAAACTGCCATACTCATCTTTGCACTGGATCGTAAGTTGACCTCACTGAATTTGAACAGAATTCGTAATGAGAGGCAATGACGTAAAAAGCCATTTTCTGTGTTTGGCGTGAAGAGATAAATTTTAGAGAATCAAATCCTCGCAGTTAAGAGTTTGTTTAGTCCGCGGTACACAGAATGCTATTCAGTCGGACTCAATTCCGCAAGCAGCGCCATTCTTCTGAGATTCTGCAGTGTCGGGACGAGGAGCTATCTAACCGCAAACGCAGTAAAATTTATCAGGCATTCCGCTCCGCTACTTCAGGCTCAGACTAATAGACTGCGCTCCTCCGATAACTATACGGATTATACAAGTGTTTTCACCGAAGAGTTTATCGCAAACTTCCAAAAGACACCATAAAAGCGAACCGTTAGCAACAGAAGCTTGAATTTCCAATTAAAAAAGGAAAGTACACAAAAAATAATTTTATTATTACGACCTAATTTACGCAATCAAATTCGTTTTTTATAAACATTAGGAGATAATTACATCTTGTCTCGACCTTACCTTTGAAGATTCACGTAATTAATTACTCCCCAGTTTGGTATTCGCTTTAATATTTATAATTGACTTTGTAACGTAATTAATTTTATTGCCATTTTCTTATGATCTCGTTATTCCTGAATAATATTTTATTAAAACATGAGATGTGTTAATAGGTGTACTTAAGAATGCCAACGCAAAAACAAATAACGTGTTGTTTTGGGGATCTTCAAAGAGAAATCTTCCCCAGCAACGAATTGTTTTATGATGAAGATATTTAAAACGACTTTAATTAAGAATATTTTACCTGATTCGTCTTTTGTAGGCCACAAATACTTAAAATAAATAACAAGAAGTAGCTGTTATAAGATCTTGGGAATTTTCCTGGGCTACCAAGTAACTATTAAGTATTTTTGAACATAAAATATTACGAGTATCAATTATAAAAATAACATAACATAACATTACGCCTTTTATCTCCGAAGGGGTCGACAGAGGTGCACATTACGGCACTTAATGCCACTGTACAATGTAACACCCACTTTTACTATTTATGTTATGAGTCCCATGTAATAGGGGGTGAGCCTATTGCCATATACTGGGCACAATTCCAGACTCCCCAGTATAAAAACCCAGTTATACTTTGTCCGACCCGGGAATCGAACCGTATTGCCCGGCAGTCGTACTTGCAACCACTCGGCCAACGAGGCAACCATAACATAAAATATAAAAATAAAATAACCCAATAATAGCTTAGTTAGAGCTTGATATCTTTTGTAGTAAAAATAGATGCACGATTTTTAGGAATACATACCGATGAACATATCTACTCACCAAGATTCTACTCCATTTTTAAAATAGGAAAGAAGCAAGAGCGGGCTGTGAAAGTAACATTTATATTAGTGGAGTCTTCCCCATACAAGGGGCGGCTACGAGGTCTAATATCGATGCGTTATTCAGGAGGTAAATGAGCCATCAGCGGCGCACCATCGTTTGCATCTAATCTGCCTCTACCAGCGACCTTTGTGACCTCAAGGGACATATACCAACCGTCCGTTCTCGACGCTCGAAACTTTTTTACATATTACTAATTCACAATTGTCGATTTCGCCTGTCGCCCTACTGAGTAATTATTTTCGGTGAACCCAAAAGTGTACTGTAAAAAGAATTTAATTATGTTTTCTTAATTGCTACCTACCGTTGTAAAACATGAGAGGTTATTATAATTGCGTATTTACTTACCTACAAGTACATACATGTCTTCAGATATAGGTACATTTCTCTTCTCGGCACGAGTAAATCAAATCTTCCAGTGAAATAATTACTTTAATAGAACATCAGATTTTTCGCGAAACATTCTAAACGCTTGTTCGTATATTTACGAAACAAGAACGTAAAATATTTGCGTTTTTCCGCCCCTTTACACTCAAATGATCCACTCACATTACCGTCGTTATGTTAAAGGTATGCCTATTATATGCCTCGTCATAAATTGCACACGTGAAATCATCCTTTTTATATTATATACTTGGTATCATATATGGGGAAAGAATGAAGTATTGTTACGAGCCCTCAAAGCGTTCTTCGGATAAAATACATATTATTATTACACGAAATGAGAGCCTGCGTCATCGAGGCAACTTTATGGAGTATTTTTATAAACAGTGCGGTGCACGTGGTTTCAAAATCACATCATATTTGTTCAGATGTTAACGCAAGTCTACAGCACTAAACATGATTAAAATATTTCGCACGTCGAGCTGAGAACTGAGAAAATAAAATAACAACTTTCAGTACAGTGTGAATCTTACATGTTATATAAACTTTACAATGCGTTATAATAACAGTTTCTATTCAAAGATGAATAAAGTAAAAAAATATGTGACGTCAACAAAGAAAGAATGGCAGTCGATTAGTTTGAGCACGAAGGAAATTTTCTTTTTAAACGAATATTTCCGCTCGACTAACGTTTGAGCTTCAGGACTGAAATCCTATTAATCATGAAACATTGTATTCTTATTTTGTCTAGTCCGTAGTCTCGGTTTGGGAGAGACGAATGGAGCGAAACAATCTGTCCTTCGCAACAAGTTAACGGACTCGTGTAACACGCTCACATTAATCAAGTAGATGGACAATCGTAGAGGCGTCCGCGCCACGGTACGGACCGTACCCTGCCAACTGAGATATTCCACACTGCGATATTAACTGTGGGATTATAATGCTGAATTACCATCCCAGAACGTACGCTCAATGTGTACTGTGAATTAATTTCATCCTCGAGAAGCCATGAAACTATTTAATGTCGCTCTACTGAAAACTAGTTTCATAGCCAACGTACTTAGGTACAATTCGTACATGATACTTAATACTCACTATATCTCGTTTGATATGATGAATAATGGAGCTACGAAAATCATTATGACTCTGATCCCTCCTTAGTTTTTTCCTGAATTTTCGGTCATTTTTTCTCTCCGAAGGCGTACATTTTTTGGGACAAATGGTTGCCTATTAGACTATCCATAAGTTCATAAGTCACGATGCGACGTTCCATTGAAGGATAAAACGATCCGTTATTAAATATTTTTGAATGTATCTTATGTCAGTATGGGTTGGTATCGTTTATTTAAGATGTTTGTTCCAGTCACTCAATGGAAAGATTACACAGAACTTCCTTTGATTCTCTAGTGCTAACATTCACAAATATTCGTTTGCGAGGACTAATAATTAAGATGATTTATAACACATATGAAAACTTTCCCATAAAACTGTTCAGTCATCAGTCATATTAGACAAATATATACTTAGAATGTATTAGCACATGTGTGACCAGTAAAAAATACAATTAGTGGTCGCTAGCCAAAATATTTTTAACGACTGACATATGTTGCTATTATGAATTAATTATAAATCATCGTGAGAAAATTTAAAAGTAATAACCAAAAGTTATTCAACTATCTCAATATGAACACTTGTATAAAATTGTTGATAGCACTTCTAATGTTATGGAACTGTATGCACTAAAAGTCCCCTCTAACGACTTCAAAGAAAAATAAAATAAAGCTTTATGCATTATATGACACACGTTTTACGACAAAGTGACTACTGAAACTTTGTGAAGCAATATCTATTTGGAGCTTTGTACGGTTAACGATATCTCGACTTTGAATAGTCAGTTCTTATCCTTAGCAACAATTCGATATGAACAAGGAACAGTGTTACTTCGAAGTCAGTAAGGGTCCGAGGGTTGCAGAGTTGGAGTATTATAATTGACGTGTGGTCGACTATACCACAGTTAGTTTACTAGTGTGTTAGCTAAACGTGGCTGTGGCGAGCTCCGCGAGTACCACTCATTTATCGTCCGCGACGTGTGGGCGGCTCGCCTCTTTGCCAAATGATAGATGGTCTCTTCACCCATCACTCACATTTACTAACATAAAACAGATTCCACTCCGAACACCAATGTATCTGATAGAAACCACTACCAATGAATTCCTTTGTACTTGTCCTAATAACAAAATGTGACGCACAGATGCTGAATACGCGAATGCTTACTGTATGGATAATAAATCGAATGCACATCACTGAACATACTCGTACTATCGTCACGAACGAATCTTACGAATTACTAAATTACGATTTGTATAAAATCTAAAATTTGAGTTATTTAACTGACTGCCTAACGTGTTACTAATACAATAATAATCGTTCCAGCAACTGTGTCCCCTAACAAACCTATTTTAGGATAGATATATGTAATTCTCCTTGTATCATAACTTTCAAAGCATCCATAAAATAAACCGTAGCGAGTGAGTTTAAAAATAATCAGATTTATGGCCGCCTCTAGCTACTTGCTCGGAAATTAAACGACAGGCATAAATATGTACTTAAGTAAAAATGAAAAGAGCGCTGTCTTTGAACAGATGGAAGGTTAAACGTAATGAGTGAAGTTCAGGATAATAGGAAGCCATTTAATATTTCGCTGGATCATATTTAAAACTGAATTTCTTATATAAACAGTCATGAAATTGTAATCAGTATGTTGAGTGACGGGAGATGTTCACAGCTAGGTATGTGTCGGCCCTTTAATTTGGGAGCAGGCTGGCCCATTCGCCTTCCCGCCGAAACGTCAGCGCAATATTATTTATTCACAGGTGGTTGTGGTACTCGGCATGACATTTATAATTCAGTACGTTATGTAAAATTCTATCAATGAAGACTAAGATAAACCTAAAAAAAAGATAAAACGTTGTATCACGAGCATATACACATGTATGTAGGTCCAAAATTCATGAAACATTTATCTTTAATATGTAAGTATCATTTATATTTTAGTACCCTCTCGTGATACACACTTTAATATTAGAAGCGTACGATTCAGTAATGACAAGGTTTTATTCTTCAGACAACCGTGAATGTGATGTATGAGAGGTCCGAACATGTATGAGTGCTCTGCCGCTAGCGCACCAGATGTTGCGATTTCCGAGTACAAAAAAAAGATATACGACGGGAAATGACTGTCAGCCTCGTTCACTAGTCATAGTTTTTCTGAGTCCGCTCCGTATGTGGATATTCCTTTCTCACCCTGAATAACATGTCTAATAAACTACATGGAATGACCAACTATTTTCTTTTTATATGTCGTGGAAATGTATTTATTTTTATCTTCTCCGCACAAGAAAGTTTAAATATCCGTGTGTAATCACAATGATATTCGGATACTTACCACCTTTTCCCCCTTCAACGCGACTTTATCCACAAGCTAACCTCAATTTTGTAATCAACGCGTAGAGATACATATATTGTGTTTACCTTTCCTCGTGTATTTGGTTAGGACACAAGCCCCGCCTTTACAGAGTTAATTGCGATTGTAAAAGAGCGAGTGACTATCATAATAGCGATACAACCGCGCGTAAAGAATTTGTTCACGTTATTTTTGGGCAACTGCACGAGCATAAACGAGATGTTTGTTCCAAAAATGGAATAGCGCCGCTCTCCCAGTTTATTTCTACCTACTGTTTGAAGTATTCTGTCAGCTAAATGAGTTTCACCATGACAATGTTTGTGCAGCATTATTTTGTACACTTTATGTCCATGGTTCTTGCCGTCGGCTTCCTAATAAAGTTATCTGAGTAATGTGCGTTGTTTGTTTAGTACTTATTGTTACGATTTGTGCAGCGGAGCTGGGCGACTACGACCCGAGGCGACATGGGCTCGGTTACGTGTCTGAGTTCCGCTTGTTGGCGCACCAGACTCCGGAGCTCGAGGCGCGCGCTGCTGAAATACATCGCACACTCACGTAAGTCTCATACCGCTGGTAATTAGCTAAACATAAATTAACAGTAATTTATGCATTGCTCTAATCAATGTATTGTTGTCTACATGCATCTAAATACATCTTCTATCTCATAAACTCGTAAGCCCAATCTATACGTAGTCTTATTTATATCGCATCGTCTCTGAGAATAGACACAGATTAATTAAGAACTTATGCGCCCGACGCGAGGAAGTCCTTCCTGTTATACGTATTATTGTCTTAATTAACTAAGAAGAAGGCAACTTGCTAAAAATTAAGATTTCAGAGGCGCAGTTTCACGCCGAAAGCGTCGTCGTCCGCCCGCCGGAAATTAAACTTCGTCGCCTTTCTCGCCTAATTGAATGAATTTTTAACTGCGCAAAGATGCAGTCTGCGGCCAGGGCGCGTCACAAAGCCGCAATTACATGCAAATTATGTGTACCTACCTACTTAACACCAAGTGAGCCGTGGCTTAGGGCGGCGACACCGGCTCGCCACGCCACCCGCGCCGTACGGATTATTCATTGTTGCTTAGCCTTTTGTGGCCTTTTGTCCTTAATGCCTCCTATTAATTAAGGATAACAGTTTAATTGACTTTTAACTCTCTTTTCTTTTGATGAAATATTAATAACGGTCCTTTTTACAGGGGAATTTCGCCGGCACAAGCAGAATTGAGCTACTTGGATAAAGTGAAATGGCTTGACATGTATGGTGTGGATTTACATCCAGTTTTGGTAAATACGCGACTCTTATATATTAAACACATTGTTTGTGTTAATAAAACTTTATTATTAATACATTGTTTTGTTTTGTGACAGGGTGAAGACAGTGTCGAATATTTCCTCGGGCTGGCGCCAAGCGGTCTTTTACTGTTACGCGGAAAACACACAGTTGCGAACTATTATTGGCCGCGCGTCTCCAAACTTTATTACAAGGGACGCTACTTCATGCTCCGCGTAGCAGATAAGAATGTAAGAACTACCTTTTGATAAAAAATAACAAAGAATGTGAGTTAGACGAATAAGTAAACATTAAAATCGGGCGTTCCACTTGACCCATTTCTCGTTTCGGATCGCTAGGAGTGATAACGGGCGCACTTTGAATAGTGGTGCAAGATAGAGTCCACCTTGCCTCGCTTCCTTGAAAGACATTCGTAGGCAGGCAATTACAGATAAGTCGCGTAGAACTGAGCGCAGTATTTACAGCGCTGTGGGCACGGCGATAACACGCGGCGCGGCGCGGCTCGGCGCGACGCGGAGCTCCCTCAGCCACTGATTTACAGCTACACTGGCCCACACCACCCGACTTACTTCTTACTTATCCTTTAACATGATACTTTGTATTGTTTATTTTAAGGGCTTCTTTCTATATTATCCAATTATCGAAATATTTTAACTAGCGACTAGTAGAAGCAAGTACATAATTTGAATCATACTCATTATATACGGCTACCAAAATAATGAACAGCGCTTTGCGATGATTTTCGACCAAAATGAAATAAGTTTAGTAATAAAAGCTACCTCTATCAAACTCTGCAGATGTTTACATTACCCTCGCTTGAACGATTAGTTAAAGGTATTAGAATCCATATTAAATGTTTAATATCGATACCTATTTATCCACTCGATGGTAATAAATGTAATATTATGAAACTAATGAGACTGTAGAGTTACGATTTACTATAATAATCTTAATTGTATTAAAGATAAAAAAAGAAATGCTAAATAATGGTTGCTATAAACTTATAGCATAAATTGTGAAACTCCAACATTCAGCCTCTAGATTCATGAACCGTTAACACTTTTATTAGTAAAAAATACTACCAAACTTCAGACAAGACTTAAGAATAATACAGCATCGTATAGTAAATTTTTACTGATGACTACCTTTTCGTAGTCGTAAAGAAATTTACGAAAATCATAAAAGATATCTTGAACATGAAAGAAGGTGATAAGCTCTGCAGTTTATGGCTTGTTAAATAAAATCTAGACATAATCTGGCTTATCTTGAACAAGGGTAAGGGCACAAAGAAATATATATTGCCTATGTAATGTTATAGAAATACAGTTTGACCTTCGTTTACAGAAATTGGCCGGAATCTGTTTAGGATCTTAGAAATGTTCTGAAAATAGACTTGGGATCAGGGTAGTCAAATGTTTAGTTAAGACTAGTTTTCTTTTTGTATAAAAATCACTTTTATTTTTCTTTTGAAGTAAACAAGGGTAAAGGATTCGTAAATTTGTCCATCTTTAGTATCATGTCCATATGTAGGTAGGTAATAGGTTTATTATAATAGGCACTATGTCATAACCACATATACACATATGTATTAACCACATTCAGTGGCATTTCAATAGCTTTCATGAAGTAATTATATGATAGAGACACTAAACAATTAGTTGAACACAACCACAAACATGAGAAAATCTTAAGGGTGGGATGGCGGTGTTTAAAAAAAAAATATGGTTTCATAAACTTTTTTCTGTATTCCTTCTCATGTTAGGTATAAAATAAATAAATAAGTATTGAATTGTGAAACCTGTAAAACAGAATGACACATCAACCTACGGCTTCGAGTCCCCGACGAGGTCAGCCTGCCGTCACCTTTGGCGTTGCTGTTCAGATCATCACACCTTCTTCCGAATGCAGCAGACATCGCCAGCATCAGCCGATATCTTCTCATTAGGAACCAGACTGAGAACTAGGTAAAGTAAAGAAAAACAAATCTTTTCTTTACCTTTTAATTTGTTAAAGTATATTTGTTTGTAAGTTCTGTAAGGTTCTCCATAATGTTAAAGTTTGGGTCTTTCTTCTAGATTTAGATGTTTGTTCGAGACATATTTTTCCTTCGTTAATTGTTTGTGATTTTGTAAAATGATATGTTATTGATATCTAATTTATTTTGTGAAATGATATATCTATAATATCTATATACCCCGGACAAATAACAATAATTAATAACGTATACTCTGTGTCGGTTTCACGTAATCAATATTATTATATGGCCCTTTCCTTTATTTTAAATGTATTATTGTCATAAATTGTATTGTCGAACGCTGTTGGTTAAATGAATGTAAAATTAAGAAACTGTTTAGGTACAAAATAAAGGAAAGGTGAAAGTTACCGTGGGAACCTTGTATTGAAATGACAAAACTTATTGATTATGGAAATAATTTAGATACATTTGATTACATTCATGCTTGGGAAAATTCAAACACGATTTAATACTACGTATTATTATCTAAGGAAGGAAATGTTGTTAATACTTTTAGTGCAGTTGTGTTACAGTTCCCATTGCAGTGGGAAGTTAGTCGATAACCAACAACCAAACACAATTCAAGATTGCCAAACTGAACAGCATGTCACCTGATTATATACGTAAATCTAATCCAATTACATTGTGAGGTCCGGGCCAGATCAAAGGGTGGCAAGTGATCAGGGCTAATCATAGATACCCGCAATACCTAAGAATTTGCAAGTGCACTCATACGAGTCGAGTTGCGCTTATTCTCCTATCTTCACACACACACAGTCACACTTTTACTCGCAAAGCCGGTTGAACCTCCTTATGTATGATGGATCCCAATAGGGCTGATGCCGATACGGAGCCGCGGAGGGCTTAACCAGTTGCCGGGGCTCCGGTTAGAAGCGCAGGAACGGAACAGGGTGGTTTTTAGTCAGTAAGAATCTGACACTCCTCGCCTCAACCAGAGAAGTCATTGTATGATTTCCCCCCCTCAGAAAAAACCTCCTTATTTATGAATTTGTACTAATTATTATTTGTTTGTCCAGTGGCAGAGGATCAAGACCCCGTCCTCCTCCCGCGTTCACGCGGACCCCGTCTCGACGTATCGGGCGACCGCAACACGCTTCGCACGCATCGCTTAATGATGGTATTCACATTAATTAAACTCTTTTTGAACCACATTTTTAGTTATTTTTATATTTCTTATAAAAAATTTGATTTGTAAGGGACTTAACATTTTTTACATGACTTAACATTTAATCGACACCTAAATATGTCAGCGACCAACCAGTTCTTGGAGTTGGAAAGCTGTTATGTTATTCAATCATTGTTCTATTTCCATTGTTAAAAAATTGTCATTCCTAAATTTCAGTCAATTTATAAATTAAAAAACTATTTATGTAAATTTAGCCTGACTTTGACAACATTTTATTTTTACCTGTAAGTAACTTGTATGTTTTTTCCAGTGCCAAAATTAGAAGACTTGAGAATAAAAGACTGTCCCCCAGAAATCAAACAACCTACCTCAGTACATCGGCCAAACTCGTAAGTACATTAGCTAACTTCACTAAATTAATTATAGTTGTGTCCACAACAGTGTTGGTTCTCTACCAAAAAGGTTTTAGCAATCTTTTTTGTAGAAGATGTTTAGTTTAGATACTTTCACCCACGCACTTTCTTGTTAGGATTTTGTATTTTTAATATTCTAGGAATACCAAAGAAAAGAGGTTGTATTTTCTTGAAACTACTTTTTCGCATTCCTCATTGTGCATATGAATGTTGTAATATTATGTTCTTTACTCATATCTTGTATACCAGGCTTCGAATCAGTGGTGAAGTGTTAGGTGTCGAAGTTCCCACGGTGGGAGGATCACCAAGATCCACTCGGTCTGCGCCTACTCGACGTGGTCTCTACTCCGCCTCGCCAACCGCCACTAGGCCACCACCAGCTCCAAGACATCGATCAGCATCAGTTGACTCACAAAGCTCTAACGATTCACGTTCTAATCGCAAGTAAGTTTAACTTAACTGCAACTCAAATAAACTGTGAAAATGTTTAACACATTTTTTGTATGAATAGCACTAACTAACGGTCACGCAATATGGTCACCTGAGATAGAAAAATTTAACATAAGCTCTATAGAAAATCGCTGACAGAATACCTAGTAAGTATATTTATTATCCTAGCCCTGAATCAACACCCAGTATTCTTTAAACGTCCCTGTTAGATCTGGGCTGAGAAAAATTTCCTTTTTAATCTAAACCGTTTTATTTATATTCATATAACACGAACTTTACTTAGGCATGATACTTACCTTCTTATTTTAAGCAAGAAATAATAAATGTTATTTTAAAACGAAATTCGAGAATCATTATAATTTTAATCAAGTTCGAGACTTTTTATCAACGTTTTATAACAAGACGGGAAAATTGGGAAATTGTAGCGGGATCGAATCTGTCAAGGATTTTAAACACCGAATAAAAAATGATAATGCGGAGTTAGTTACCTTTATATAGTCACTATGGGTAACTCTCTAGAGTCCCCCCGTTATATAAGTACACCGGGCGAGTGGGTGTACCACCCGCATACTCCTTTATATGTCTTGAAGCTGTAATCACTAGTTTTATGTTTATTAGATCATAATGTTTCCTCTACAAAGCGCCTTCCCTCGAAGCACGTAGGACCCGTTGCTTTCTTACGACTTTGTTACCGCTTGGAAAGTTTTGCTCGGTGAATAATGGTGGCCTCTCTTTAACTTTCCAACTAAAATTCAAAATCCATTATTATCACGAGGCAACTTTTGTCAGTCTTCATTTTTTTACGTCAATGTTCGTTGCTTAAAGTTTTCTTGATAGGGACATGTTACGAAGAAGACACTTCTGCAGATTGGGTTACGAAATGTGATTATTAAAACTTTTATGTTTGGACTACCTTTATTGTACTGATTATATTCGTAAGCAATATTTATAGCACGTATTCTACATATAAAATGGAACTTACTCATAAGAAATTGGCGTAGCAATCCCTTTACGCTAATAACTGACTCATGTTTTTTGTATGTAGACATAAACATCGTTCACGAAGACAGCAATCAGACGCTGAGAGTGAACTGTCTCGAGGCTCAGGACGGTCAGGACGACGGCATCGACGTCATCGGTCCAGACATAAGCACGAGTCCGGCTCCGAGAGGGATGACTCACAGCCAGATACCAAGTTAGTAAATTAATTAAGTTCATCTACAGCGTCCACTTTCAGTTTAAGTAAGAAAGTTTAATAAAATGTTAAGAGCTATATAAGAAACATGCCCCTACAAATGTATGTGTGTATGAGTTCAGCGATAAACGTAACTTTGAATTTACAGAGAATACGAACTGGTTGATTCAGAATCGCAATGGAAGGAAGTTCTCCGACAAACCACTGTTGGCAGCGGAGTTCAAGTAAGTTCGGAAGATTTGTCAAAGTGTCATTCGTCACTAAGCAAAAGTCGAGGATGTTAAATAAAATATTTTTGTAGGTGGCAAACGTTCGTCGCTCGCAAATGGAGCCGGAGACTGGGACACATCGATCATCTCACAGACACCGGCGACATAGAAAACATCGGTATAATTACTGCCATTGTTGTCTCATTAATCGACCTCATCAATTACCACCTGAGCTAATTCTCACAATTCATTCTCATTAGGTCTCGGTCGGGCTCCCCCAACGACAAGAAATGGTTACCAAGTGAGTTGAAACAGCACTTGGAGTTCTCATTAGTAGACACGACTGGTATGACTGAGGAACAACTGAAGGAAATACCGTACACGGTTGTTCAGACCAGCCATGCACGGCAGACTAAGCTGCGAACTTCTTCAAAGCATCGACAGTAAGCTTTCTCATTCTTGATACTTACATATTTCTTCTTCTTGGACTTAATTTAACGATTTTTTATTTCTTGTAGGGCTGAACACGGATCATTAGCAAGACGAGATAAAAGTTCGTCATCTCATGGCAAAAATATCCACGATAGTCACAACCAGGGATCCCTTCGATCTAGCTCTAGCACACTAAGCACGCACCGGACCGGCCACGAGAAACATGGAAGGTACGCGCCGCATCCCATAAACTATGATTTATTGTCGAAATATGGATGATTTACGTTATGGGTTTTTGCAGACGTGTTTATCCGAGCTACGATGAACCCGTTGGGAGGACGGGCGATGATTTCTTGACAAATAACGGGTACAAAGGCAATGTGACGCCGATTTCGAACAACAACAACCCTTACAGCCCTGTTACCAACAGCAACAGTAACAGCTCAAGCGGTGAACTGATTGGCAGTGCGCGCGTCTCACACGAACACACTGACTCGGGGCTCGGGGCAGATCAGGACTACGCGTACTCTTCGGAGAGGTGATTATATTAATGTAACTTACGTACATACGGATAAAAGTGAACATCAGCGGTTACTGAAGGTTTTCGAAATTTCGAAGAATTATTAATAACACGTGACGAGTGACCCTGTTGTATTACTCCGGCAGCAGGCGAGTGGAAACTGATGTAAGGCCCATGTCTGTCGGGTGCAGGTCCAGCGACAGTGCCAAGTGCGGAGCTGGAGGGTCTTCACGGACGGCGCCTGTGAGTAGGCAGTGGGCGATGGGCGAGGCGGGTTTGCGGGAGGCGCGGGGCGCGGGCGGGGGTGGCGGCGGTGCAGTCACTCGCCGGCCTCCAGCAGCTCCAGGGCGCGCGCGCGCCTCCGTGTCGGGCTCGCAGCGCTCGCTGCTGTCGGTGGCCAGCGACTCAGCCACCGCGCGCCGCCCCCGCGACCTCGCGCCGCGCTACCCTCACCCGGCCGACGGGGGCTTTTCTCTCTTCGTGAGTGGGCGCTTTGCTTTCTAACATGTCTTCCGCTCACTGACGGCTCTTGTCTCGACCATTTCTTAATAAAGGTCAAAACTAAAGAATCCGGAACCATATGGATGACACTCCTGTATCCGATATGAATTCTATTAAATCTGCTACTTTTTACTGTTATTCTATAACTGTACCTATAAAAAAATGCAGATTTAGGTAAACATCACAAGGGCCGTCGGAAAAATCTGCAGCTCCTGTTTCTGGGTCGCTGATAAAGCTAACAGTGTACAGGTTGCTGTAAAACGAGAATATTTTATACGAGCAGAAATAATTTTGTACAATTTATAGGATATTACTTCAATGAAAATACTACGTAAGCGTAGAGTAGAAGAGATTTGCGTAGGTTAGCCTAATTTCACTGACGAACTTTTGATGTAGATTTATTTACTTGTATCTATTTTCTTATATTTCAAAGATATTTTCAAGACTTCTACTCGCTTAAGGGGCTTATAATTTACAGAGTGCTACAGTAGTTCGTTATTATTGTGTCCTGAAGTTTGTACAGTTTCATGGAAAACCAAATGGCACCACTTTAGCACTGTGTACGCGCCTTTACCTACTTGGGGACTTGATATCGTATATATCCACTGTTTCATTCATGTATAAAGCTATAGGGTGTGCACAGGTAGTTTGTCTAGCGTGTATGATTATTGGGATGCAGAGACATGCTAGCAACAACAACATATTGGTGGGCGAGAGCGGGTCGCTGGCTCGGCGGTACGCGCGGCCGACGCGGGAGTCGCGCGACCACAACGCGAACGTGGCGCGCACGCACTCGCGGCTCGCGCACCATCGACACGACAACACCCTCGACATTATCCTTAAACCTCTCATAGAAAGCACGCAGTAAGTAAGGCACGCACCGACGATCCACCATGTTTGTGTCGCAACACCATGTTTGTAGCGGAATGAGTAGCTGCACGTACCCTTTGGTTTGTTCGTTGTTCTGTTTGTTTTGTTTTGTCTTTGCATGCTGGTGACGGTTTAGTGGTGTGCTCGTGTTATAGCAGACTAACCCTTAACTAACCTAACACTAACCGTCAATGTTTCGTGTTACTACAGCCGATTGTTTTACATTTTGTGTTACTTTTATGTTGCACCTTGTTGTGATTAAAATGTTGGTAACCGCATTTGTTGCAAACGAATATAATTATCTACAGGATGTTTATTAATACAATTTTTTTTACTACTCAAACGTAATAAACAGTGGACGTGCAGTCCCCCAACAGTTATGGAAGCACGTATTTGCCATTTTTCTTTTAGAAAAAATTAAAAGAAATGGTAAGAAAATCTCATATGTAAATTGTGTATGAACCCAGGCTGCAGAGCAACTGAGTACAGCAAACGAGGCGACATCTGGTATCAGTAACGGAGGTGATACATCTGGCAACGGAAACAAACCCGCTGGAGCTGCTGAAATGAGCACAGAACTATAACCGATACCAACCTATTATTTTCATTCTAGTTTCTAGTAGATAAATAAATTAGGCCACTATTTATTTTATACATTAAACAGAACCTTTTAAGTGTTCCTTATTTTTGTATTAAAAAATAAACATTTTCTTTTTTTTAACAAAGCCCAGTCATGTCAACTGTTCGTGGCCTAATAATGTCATTGTCCGCAATTATAGTTCAATTCGTTTCATTGTTAAACGGCTGTACTCATTTCCATCTTTCTATGATTGATAATACTCATGGTAATATTAATTTATTATCCTGATGTGTTATATAGTAAAAAAAGGGTTTTTGAAAAACCCACACCTTAGGCTATAGTTCAACAGTATTTTTATAAAACCTTTTATAATAATGACATAGGTTAATCATCGATATTTTGAAGTCAATCAAAGATTCATCCTGTATATTCAAATAGTCCCATTTTAGTCGAATATTTTTCTGAAATATGAATAAAAATGTAGTTACAATTACTAGTTACTAAAGATAATAATGTAGAAATTTGAAACTTATTATTGTTTTCAGTTACTTTATTTCATATTTTATTTCAAATGTAAATATAGTTTTTTTTGTAAATAAAACTTTTAAAATTGTGTCTTCGTAATATTTCAATGTGAAAGCAACATATTTAAATAACAAAAGTATCTTGTGCCAAAGATTTTGTGAAGAAAAATCAGTTACGGAAAATTGTTTATATTTCTTTGTGAATAAGGAAACAATTTATCACCAAGTTTACCATTTCACATAGATATCAACTTCGCAACGTATGTGTGAGTTTATAACTTCGTTATTACCTCCACTTATAAAACAAAACATGTCGAAAATCTACCAACACTAAGAAAACAATTATTATGTCAAATGTTTATTTATTCAATCATTTACGACGGGTATTAATTTATGTATTTTACCATTCTCATTATTGTAAGTGATCGACGTACACAAAATCTTGTACAGTTGTTATGTAGCTTAGTGTTAACAAAGTAATTTAGTCTCTAGTTGCTAAAGTAACTGTCTATTGAAAACAGAAAACAATGAACACAAGTTTAAGGTCCAAAATACAATGTCTCTTTGTCATGAAATCTACAAAAATGAGCAAAGAAACTGAGTATACAAAATTCACAGATTTATTAGAATAGTTTGCTTAACATTTTCATGTGAAAGTTTGAAATTTTCCGACCGAGGCAAGTTACTTTTACCTTTTTGCAATGTCACATGTAGAGCGTGCATTACCCCGCGACTGCTATCGGGTGCCACTTAAGGGCGCGTATGGGAATGTGAGGAAAGGGTTGCAAACATCGTGTACCTTAGAAGTCAATGTACACTTTACGCCCCCTATAAAAAGACTCATCCAATGAAAAGAAACCAACAATTACAACATTATATTGAATTTTTTCTTCCACTGTAAATATTGCTAGATAATTAAGATGTAAATAAATTTCAACATTACGCATCGATATGCTCAGATTTCGATACAACATTGTAGCTAACTTACCTGCAGTCAATTCCCACGACAACTGCAGCGCATCTGAACTCACATAATATGTAAATGATACTCTCGAACGATGCGATTAGTCGGTCAAATTGTGTATTGTCAAGACTGATAAGATTGCGACTGTATTGCTACTCACACAATTTTTGTAACCGATTATAACAGTTTGTATGTATTTTTTCAAAATCGTTTCGATTGTTCGCATTAAACGATCTATATCATTTGGTGTGTTATTTCTTGTTCGACGCCTCTTAATGACTGGTATAGTATGCTGAGCCGTTTCTTTGTAACGTAAATCTATAAAATGACGTCATAAAGGCCGTTTATTAATCTACTTATTATTAATGAGCGCCATACAGCATCGCAAATGATTTATCGATTATCTGACAAAGAGTCTGGCTCTGGCATTAATTAAGCCGTTCTGTCTCAGATATCGGCTGCGTCCGACCGCCATTAACACTAATGAGGATGATTTGGTACCGTTGCTCGACGAGTGTTTTGGCTGTAAAAATATATGTCAACAACTCGATAAACAATAATAAAGTGCATACTTTCATAACGACAAATTATTTTATATTGCATGAATCATTGACCTACATACCATTTGGTAAAGTTATCTGATTTGTTTTATGTAGGTACCATTTTATATTTAACAGACTAGGTTCTAGGTATTCGTTAGCGAAAATGTAACTGTGAATATTTTATTGACCACGAATTGTGTAAGTATGTAACAAAACGCTCAATTAATTTTGTGAACGGTCCGCACTCCGCAAACGTATTTAGTTACAGTAATTAAAACCATCATGGTCGGTCATTGTGTACTCAACCAACCTTTGTCAAACCTACGAAATTCGAGTTACAAAAACTCGTAGTTTCGTCGAAAAAGTCACGACTTAGTTTGTCACCCTTGTCCAGTTCGGAAACAAAACTACGAGAAGTTTTATGAACGTAGCTTCTGTTCCGTCGACGAGTAAAATTAAATATCGTGCAACACATTGACTGTGATCCCCGCATCTGAAATCCGGCTAATTGAGCGAACGCGTCACTCGGGCCCAATTTGCCTGCATGAAAGCAAAAGACAAAATAAGTTGGCGCAGTCTATCAAAGCTCCGATGTCCACTATTCGGCGAAGGGTGAAAACTCATTACCCGTAATGAAAGGGTTCCCGGGCCGTGTATGATTACTAGTTAATTGGAAGGCGGAAAATCAGAGGGTGACCAGATAAAGTTACCTTATTCATACAAAGTGTCTATTAACCATAAATCTATGTTAACTTTAGTTTTTTGCTGGACGATTTCCTTTACCTTGATAAAATAAAGGTTCTACTTTCTACAAATTATTATTTAAACAATATTTCTTAGAATCATTCTTCATGTACAATCAAAGAGAAATATAATCTCGACAATATTGTGTTTAAGAACAATTTCATTTAATAAAATTTCATATTTTTAATAAAATGTAAATTAATTCAATGAAACAAGAGATAAAAATCTTTATGAAGTGGAAACGCAAAGGCAGTAAAATTGAAATAGTGGGCAACATTTTAATTCTTAATAATGTGTTAATGGCGCCTCCGTCAAGTTTTCATAATAAAAACGAAATGAACAAAGAGTTTTGTAAATACAAAATTAACTTAATATATGAGTAGGCACTTGGTTTAAAGAACATCACCTCTTGGTGTGAGATGTATAAAAGCTTACTTACTACCTACCAAGATAAGAAAACATATTATTTATTTTACATAAGTACAGATACAGACGTCAGATTGAAAATTGTTATGTACACAATCTTAATTGTAAATAGTGAGTGAACCTGAAGTCCAATTAGAGCTAACTTATATCAAATTACATTAACAATTTCAAAATGTTAATTCGTTTTTCTGTACCAAATTATGTTCAATTGATGAAAACTAGGAATTACTAAAAAGCGACCATACAAGTAATCAAAAGGTACAAAGGGAACACTTGAGTGAACAAGAAACCTGAAACAATGGCGCAACGACGCATGTCATGCTCATTAAGTTAAATACAAATTAAGTTACTTTTCCTTCACTTACCCTTACAAGTAAATTGCTGTTAAAATGATTACCTTGTTGATCAAAAATATGTACGACTACTGATTCCCGGGTCGAGCAAAGAATTCTTGAGAATTTTTCGTAAAGCATTAGGAAGGAATCTAGTCAAAATAAACGCTTAGTATTCCTTAACTTTCTCTGAGAGATAAAAAGCATAATGTAATATTGTGTTGTTGTGATTGTTTTTGTTTTTCTTAGGTACAAATAAATAAAGTATTTACATAAATTCGCAATAGTCGAGGTAGTCTAATCAGGCTGAGTGGTTGTCGCCATATATTTAAGTTCAGAGCGAGGGTTCACCGGGTATTCAAAGCGTGCAAGCCTGGAGCCAGGATTTCGATGTAAGCGCTGAACACTGAACGTGTTATTGCTGAACTGAAATGTTTGTTACAATATTCAGGTGTATAAGATATGTGTGCTAGTGTTGTATAGGTTTGTTACATCATACTCATAGAAATATCGATCATATCATCATACTTTAGTATGTTTTAAATGTGATTTCTACTATTTTTTACATAACATAATATCACGCCTTTCATCCCTGAAGGGGTAGGCAGAGGTGAACATTACGGTAATTAATGCCACTGTACAATGTAACACCTACTTTTCACTATTTATGTTATGAGTCCCATGTAATAGGGGTTGAGCCTATTGCTATATACCGGGCACATTTCCAGACTCCGCGCTACTACTGAAATTTTTACAAAACCCAGTAATATTTTGCCTGACCCGGGAATCGAGACCCGAGACCCCATGCCCGGTCGCACTTGCGACCACTCGGCTAATGACACAGTCTACTGGTACTATTTTTTAACTGTTAACTTATTATGTTATTAGTCCAACAGTATTCAAATTCGAGGACTAGCAGGTACATACAACTGTTAAGATAAACAAGGTTCGATTCTAATATTTAAATACTCAAACTTTAAATTGCGCTTAAGTATAGGTTTGTCACTATAAATTCTTTGTTAAATGACAGAGATGGCACGATATTTAAGCACAACTTAATATTGAGTACTGAGCCTTATATGTATAATTAGATTAGATTAGATTTATATAACACTAGCGACCCGCCCCGGCTTCGCACGGGTGCAATATGCATGTATTATACATATAAACATTAAAAAAACCGCATCAAAATCCGTTGCGTAGTTTTAAAGATCTTAGGGACAGACAGATGGCGGATAGCGACTTTGTTTTATAATATGTAGTGAAGAATTTCAAAATTGAAAAACCAAAACACGTGACATATAGAGGTATAGGGTTCTCAAATCGACAGAAAATATTACATCTGTTTAGTGTCAAAGTGTACATTTATCA